GAGAGTAAGACATTGAACCAGGTATACAGATAAGGGCTTGACCTAAAACCATTCTCTTTCCCCTTCATCTACCATTTAAGAAAAATTTATGCAATTTAGGCATATTATGGAATGCACTTATTTTGGGAAGTTAAAAAGAGCTCTGCACAGAACTACGAAATTAACACACAAAAGAGCATCTTTAACTTAGCTGGTCATCTGGTAAGGTGTTTTACACTCGGGATCAAAGCATAAAGTACCAGTAAAGTCAACAGACTATATGAAATGATTTACAGAAATAAGTGCTAAGATGTAATTTTCTAGACATTATATTTTACAAAAAAGGAAAAAAAATATTAGCTTATCTAAACCATCGAGGGAATGTTAAAGTCAACATAAGACACTTGGAATGCTGGGCTATTTTCCTTTTAGGAAAAAAATGGATTTTATGATGAGAAGATGTCAGGGTTTTAAAAAAAAGATTTCTGGGACCAGCAGATGGCCTAATGGCTATGTCGCTGGACTCCCATGTAGTCGACCGTGGTTTGAGTCTGGACCCAGTGGCTTAAACTCATGCCGGGCACGTGTGCGTGCACTTTCCCCTTCATCTACCATTTAAGAAAAATTTATGCAATTTAGGCATATTATGGAATGCACTTATTTTGGGAAGTTAAAAAGAGCTCTGCACAGAACTACGAAATTAACACACAAAAGAGCATCTTTAACTTAGCTGGTCATCTGGTAAGGTGTTTTACACTCGGGATCAAAGCATAAAGTACCAGTAAAGTCAACAGACTATATGAAATGATTTACAGAAATAAGTGCTAAGATGTAATTTTCTAGACATTATATTTTACAAAAAAGGAAAAAAAATATTAGCTTATCTAAACCATCGAGGGAATGTTAAAGTCAACATAAGACACTTGGAATGCTGGGCTATTTTCCTTTTAGGAAAAAAATGGATTTTATGATGAGAAGATGTCAGGGTTTTAAAAAAAGATTTCTGGGACCAGCAGATGGCCTAATGGCTATGTCGCTGGACTCCCATGTAGTCGACCGTGGTTTGAGTCTGGACCCAGTGGCTTAAACTCATGCCGGGCACGTGTGCGTGCATGCCCAAGATCCCAAGAGGAGAATGGAAGAGAAGGGATTGCAGAGTGGCCAACCTCCCTGGGGGGTGATTTCTTGCTTTCTCTCTCTCTCTCTCTCTCTCTCTCTGTCTTTCTGGTGAGCACACATGCCCTATAGCAAAAACTTCTCCAAAAGAAAAAAAAAAAGATTTCTGTAAAAGTATTATTACATGAGTGTAATGGATAAAAACCAATCATATCAGCTTTATGGATTGTATTCAATAGATTATGTAAACATTTACAGATGAGAGGATTTTGCTTTCTAGAACTTGAAGTTTACTTTTGAGAAGAGGATCTCCCATGGACAACTTGCTGTGCACCCTTCCAGGGCTCCTCCTTGATTCTTGCTTCTAAGAGAGTGTTGGTATTAAATGCAACATATGGCACAGATGGGACTCATTCTGGCACTATGGATGTTTAAGATCTTTTGCTAACAACACATTCCATGATAGAGCCAAGGCTGAATGTTGGTAAATGTTACTGTATACAGTGGACAGTAGTTGGGTTGATGTGAAAGGGCCAGAGGCTTCCAAAATAGCTTAGAAAATGAGAAAACTAGTTTTGCTTTCATCCAAGAATTTCTTCCAGGGGCTATTTATACAGGCATGTTAAATATAATTGAAAAAAATATTTCCACTAACTTTAAAACAATAGCTCTACCTTTCCATGAGATAAGTATTTCTATAAAGATCTTAAATTCAATGAAAAATGTTACAAATGTACTTGTTTCCGTTCATCTAGGTTATCAAGAGCACATTTTTAGGGAGCTGCAGAAATCAGGATGAGTCGCCTAACGTTAAACAAAGGTGATAGGAGGCTGGCTTCAACTTCCCTTTTGTCAACATGGTTACAGTATAGTAGTGTTCCTTTAGCCAAGTATAGGCCAAAGTTAAATGAAATACTTGGTCGATGGTTCTGTATTCCACTCTAAGCACAACAGCTGAACCTGGGCCTTTCTCGTTTCTCTGATGAAGGTTTCCTAAATCTACAACTTGAAATATCCACCTCTCATTTTACAACTGCCAGAAGTCTTATCTGTGGTCACACTTAGGAACCTCCAAGTCTCATCCGGAGTTTTCAGAAAGATCTATTAGAATGCCAGAGTCAAAGTAGTTGCACCTTGCACTGATCAGAATCTCCACTCCTTTTACCTACTGTGTGTGCTCAGTAGCCTCGTTTCATATTTCTTGGCACTGTGTTTCTAGATGTACCCAACCGAAAACGAAAACAGACAATTATCTCTGGGGACTGTTCAATCCCTTGTCTGTTCTTTCCTTTAAACAGAATGCTCCCTCTACCCTGGGAATCACTCTTAGGAGGAAACCCAACTGTCGTCATGACTGGCCCTACCATGTGCTTTATTTGAATAAATCCTGAGGTTTAAGTTTCGTACTTTTTGTTACTGTGAAAGATCTTCCTATCACCTCAACTTGTAATAACAGATGTCTCCATTTTTATGCAAGATACAAATAATTATGGATAATTAGTTCTAAATAAAAAGTGTTAGTTCTGAATTACTTATTTCCAACTAAACATCAGGCATATAAAATAATGTGTAATACTATGATGGATCTGAACATGGCCTTCCATGAAAAAGCTGGAAAACAGGTATTCAACATAAATCAAGTCGGTTTAAAGAACATCCCTTTGAGACATGTCATACGAGAAAGAGTGAGAGCTACTGAAAGATTCTGGCTTGCTTTCTGGCCTCCTTTGCTTTCCTTCAAAGGGGCACCAGGAAGAACTCTCCCTGGTTCCCGCTGCTTTGATGGTTGTGCTCTTGTGCTGGGGTGAGGCCGGAACTATGTGCTCTCCTTGGGCGGCTGGGTGGCCTGGGGCGGCTGCAGGGGCTGGGTGCCTGTGGCCGTTTTGATGGAGTTCAGGGTTTTGCTAAACCAAGAGTTTTTTGCAGCTTGGATTTCATTCATAAGGGCTCCTCTCTGATGTTCAAGTTCCTAATTAAAGAAAGAATATCATCTGAGTTATATAAATGTTTTCTCTCTGCCAAAAACCAAAAAAGAAAAAAAAAAAAAAACAAAAAAAAAAAAAAACAAAAAAAAAAAAAAACAAAAAAAAAAAAAAACAAAAAAAAAAAAAAACAAAAAAAAAAAAAAACAAAAAAAAAAAAAAACAAAAAAAAAAAAAAACAAAAAAAAAAAAAAACAAAAAAAAAAAAAAACAAAAAAAAAAAAAAACAAAAAAAAAAAAAAACAAAAAAAAAAAAAAACAAAAAAAAAAAAAAACAAAAAAAAAAAAAAACAAAAAAAAAAAAAAACAAAAAAAAAAAAAAACAAAAAAAAAAAAAAACAAAAAAAAAAAAAAACAAAAAAAAAAAAAAACACCAAACATGAGAACAGCTTTTTGGAATCCCCAAGTCTCTGCAGCCACAGTTTTCCTCCCACAAACTCAGAAGAGATTTAATTGGCTTCTTGAGAAAAAAAAGTTTAGAATTAAGAGTTACCATTAAAAACCAGAACCCATGTACTCTCTGAAGAGTGAAATAAAACCTCATTTTATTTCTTTGTTCTCCTGCAATTCTGGTGCAAGTTTAGGTTTAGGTTGTAACCAAAGATAATGTAGGTTGGTGCCATTGGCCAATGCGGTGGTCGGGAACAGCCTATGAGAAGCCAAGATTACATGTTCAGTTATGTTGTCTTCCAGTATGGAGGGAGATGAAGGGGACAGGGGCCAACCTCAGCTACAGGTAAAAAGGACCCCCAAAGGAAAGAAGCCTGTCAGCCACCATTCAGCAGTCATAGTAGAGATAGCAGAGGAGGTTGGCCTTTCCTTTCAGGATTCAAGTGACCACTTTCCATGAGAAAGGACTTTCCCAAAATAACCTAAGGGCAAGCTAAGACAGTATATATGTTAGTTCTCACCAGATACAAAGGTCTGCAAAAAGTCCATGTGGTAAAAAAACTGCAGAATTCAAAAATTTTTATACCTAAATAAGCTCATTTTGAATCCCACTTTTCCAACAGTATTTTAAAGTATGCACCTATAATTTTAATTATTAAAATTTTATTTAAAAGTTTATTTGTTTATATCAGTGTTTAAAAATACATGGTATAAAGTGTGATTATGCAGGACGCGCTAGTGGAGAGACCCGTATCATCACATACGGTCACATCTTAGTTCCGACCTCCACGGGCATATTCCGAAGCACTGGAGTATCCTGGGCCACAGACCATCCATTCTTTTCTTATTGATCTTTCATCAAATCACCAACCTGGATTTTACACTTGGCCTCCACCAACTGCAGTTTGGTTTGTGCCAGTTCCAGCTCCATCTCCCTCAGCTGCTTCTTTAGCGAGTCCTTCTCATCATCTGTTTCAATTCCCTGGTCCTCTCTGCTTATGGCTGCTAGTTTCAAAGCGCCCTCCTTGCTGAAAATGTCACTGCAATGTTTGCATGCCATCATTTTACCCTGAAATGTCCAGAAGAAAGAACCAACATCAAAACGGATCTTGCAGGCCAGGTCTCTTCCTGATGATGCTGTGTAGACACTGCCTACTGTCTTCGAGTGCAGGCCTGTTTCTGAAGGTCATTACTTTTTTGGTGTCTGCAAACACAATGGTTAGTCAGCACAACCTCAACTACCCAAGACAGTGCTCCCTTGTCTGAAAGTGTCTCTGGAAAGACCCTAGGAACAGAGATTATGATAGCATCTCTTTGAAATCTTTCTGGAATGTTGTGCTTCCACTGTTCTTACCAGACGCCAAGCTATAGGCCACAGGTTCTATGTGTAGTATTTCATTTCCTCCTGGAGCAAACTGGACAAGTAGGTACCACAAGAAATGGAGAAACTCAGGGTTGAAGTTACTTGCCTATAGCAGACTGAGGAGGGTCACCGTGAATGACCCAGATCTACTCTGCCAACAAAGTACATGTCCTGTGGTTCAGCTTTAAGCAAAGATGATCATTAGGGTAATAAAAGTAACTACTGGGGCCAACTGGTGGCATGGTGGTTGAGGTGCTGGACTCCCACATGGCTGACCATGGTTCTAGTCCCAGACCTGGTGGCTCAAAACTCACGCAGGGCACACATGCGTGTGTGCCCAAGATCTCAAGAGGAGAATGGAGGAGAAGGGATTGTGGCATGGTCATCCCCCCTGGGGGGGTTCTCACTTTCCCTTTCACTGTCTCTGTCTCTCTCAGTGAGTACACGTGCCCTAAGGCAAAAAAAGCAAAAAAAAAAAAAAAAAAAAGAAAGAAAGAAAGAAAGAAAGAAAAGCCAGACAGATTCTACATGGCTGATAACAGTTTGAATCCTGGCCCCCGTGGCTTGAAAAATACCAGTTGTATATGTGCGCCCCAAATCTTAGCAGGAAGATAGAGGAGTGACGACTGTGGCACAGCCACGCCCCACTGGGGAGCACATTCTCTCTCTTCCTCTCTCTCTCAGGCAAGTGCACATGCCTACTGGCAATTTAAAAATTAAATTATAGGGTCCAGTAGGTGGCCTGGTTAAGGTGCTGGACTCTCACATGGCTAACTGTGATTTGAGTCCTGGACCTGGCAGCTTGCTTTCTCACTTTCTTTCTCCCTCTCCCTCTCTCCTTCTCTCTCTCTCTCTCTCTCCCTTTCTCTGGTGAGCACATGAGCCCTGTAGCAAACTAAAAAATAATAATGATAAATAAAATTAAATAATTAAAAAATTAGAGTATTTTGAAAAGTTGCCATATTCTTACTTAAGAACCTTAATAAGTAGCCCAGTACTGGCACAAAATAGGCACACTCTAAAAATGGACTGTATGTTTACTGCTGACTAAATAAAATATTAAAGAAGTAGCTTATGATCTGGGTCTTAAATGGTTAAAAGTTTACCAAGCTGAGTAAGCAATTGTATTCGGCTGAACCATATGGAGGAGCAGGCTGATCTTATAAGAGGGAGGAGGAGATTTCAGCAGAAAGAACACCACAGGCAGACACAGCACCTGCTGAGAACTTCAAGGACGGGAACAGCTCTAGCCAAGAGTAAGAGAGAGAGCAGTGAAGGGGCAGGAGTGGATGAGAGCTCTCTGTGGCCAGTTGGCAAAGGTCCCCAGACACTGTCCTCCAGAGTCCTGACAGTATCCTGCGGAGAATGAAAGCATGCACTCCTCCAGCCCTGAGCCACGTGTTGGAGAAAGTGGTAAGCTTCACACAGCTGTGATCCAGCAGGTAGACTGAAACGTGGCTCCCCGCCAACACCACTCTCGTCCTATCTTAGGAGCATCCTGACTTTATTTGGGGAATGTGTCCGGATAAAAGGTGACATTTCCCAGATCCCCTCGAAGCTGGTCATTCCATGTGGTCATGAATCTCAGCTGCTATGTAAGCAGAAATGGGGTGGAACCTCTAAGAAGGCTGCTTAGAAAGCTCACACAGCTGGAAGGAGATCCTCATGTCCTTGCATTGACTGTTGGCTAAAGTTCTTCCATGAGTTGGTGTGGGGTAAAAGCTCCAGTTAATAGGTGTGACCTTTAGGTGACCTTGAGGACGGCAGCCCTAGCTGAGGATGTGGGTTACTGATGACGCAAGGGGTCTACCTTTACAGTCCTCATTTTTTTGTTTTAGAATTACTTTATTATTATTCTCTTTTTAATTCAACCAGAAAGAGAGAAAGTGAGAAAGGTTTGGGTCTTAAACTGCAGGTCTGGAACTCGAACTGCAGTTGGGGCCATGTGGGAGTCTAGTGCCTTTACTACCACACTACCTCCCAGCCCCTTCAGTAGTCATTTCTTTTTTTTTTCCTTTTTAAGAGAGATTTTTGCTATAGGGCGTGTGCTCACTGGAGAGACAGAGAGACAGAAAGTGAGAAATCACTCCCCACAAGGAATGATCACACTGCAATCCCTTTTCCTTCAGTCTCCTCTTGGGATTTTGGGCATGCACACACATATGCCTCGCGTGAGTTTGAAGCCACCAGGTCCAGGACTTGAACTGCCATTGGTCATGTGGGAGTCCAGCAACATATAACCATTAAGCCATCTGCTGGTCCCTCTAATCCTTACTTCTAATTATGGATCTTCATCCTCATGGTTTCTTCTAGAATGTCCTGTTTGTTTATTTACATAAATTGCCAGAGGGCACACTTGCCACAGAGAGACAGAGAGAGAGGAAGAGTAAGAAAGTACCCCTCAAATAGGGCATGGTCATTCTGCAATCCCATCTCCATTTCTCCATCCTGTCAGGATTTTGGACACACATGCACACATATCCAGTCTGTTTTTCCAGCTGCTGGGGCTGAGATTTGAATCTTAGTCAGCCATGTGGGATCTAACTCCCTTAACTACTAAGCTTCAGAGCCAGCCCTAGATGTCCTTTTAAAATCCTCTGTAACTGAATTCTTGAGCCCAGCCTCTGCTGCAAATCCTCCTTTGGTCTGTAGTTCATATAATTTTGCTTTCTTTTTTTTAGAGGGAGAGTTTTGCTGTAGAGCACATGCACTCACCAGAGAGACAGAAAGCAAGAAATCACCCCCTGCTCCAGGGGGATGACCATTCAGCAATCCTTTCCCCTCCATTCTCCTCTCAGGATCTTGGGCACACATGTGCCCAGCATGAGTTTTAAGCCTCTGGGTCTGGGACTCAAACCATAGTCAACTACATGGGAGTCCAGTGACATAACCATTACACCTTCTGCGGGTCTCACGATTTTGCTTTCTCTACAAATATGATCATCAGTGTAATTGGACTAGCCCTTTACAACTATTTTGCAAACATACCATGGGCATGTGATATAACATGTCCTAAAAGAAAGCTCTAGGCTCTTTCTCATGTATTATTTCTATAGTAAACTAGCAGTCTGATAACTGGGTATATAGCAGGTACTCAATAAAAACTTACTACTAAATGATCAATACAAATCCTTGTTTCCTTGTTACTTTCATAAAGATTTCAGTTCAGGGTAGTTTGTCTTTTTATGCCAAGACACCTCTCAACTGCATCTTAATGTACAAAGAACAGTAAATGCTAAGTAGAAAGAAGTACAAAGGCAGGACAGAAAGGGAAGATATACACCCCAAATTTAGGCAGGTTTGGAAAGACAGGTCACCAACTCTAAACTCACCAACAATCCCAAGGTTCTTTTTTTTCCCCCTAGGGCATGTGCACTCACTGGAGAGAGACAGAGAGAGAGATAGAGAGCGAGGGAAAGTAAGAAATCACCCCCCAGGAGCGATGGCCATGCTGCAATCCCTTCTCCATTCTCCTGGAATTTGGGGTATGCACGCATGTACATGCCTGGCATGATTTTTTTAATTACTTAATTTTATTCATTGTCTTTTTTTTTTTTTTTTTTTTGAAGTTGACCAGAGAGAGACAGAGAGAGAAGGAAAGTGGGAAAGCAAGCTGCCTGGTCCAGGACTCAAACCACAGTCAGTCACGTGGGAGTCCAGCTGCTTTATCCACCACGCCACCTGCCAGCCCCCTCTGGCATGATTTTCAAACCACGAGGTCAAAGACTTGAATTGCGACCAGCCATGTGGGAATCCAGAGCCTTAACCACCATGCCACCTGCTGGCCCACAAGATTGATGTTTTATAACATGAAGTAGGAAAAGTTCTGACTACAAGGTCAGAAGGAAGTTCATACATAAGTTCAGGTTATAATATAAAAACATATTTACTGCATGTCAGTAACTAATCTGAGCACTTTATATCCATTATCTTATTTAACCTTCAAAGTGATCTTATGAAGCAGGTAATATTACTCAATTTTACAGACGACAAAAATGAAGCTTAGAAAGTTAAGTAACTTTTTACAGTTATAAAATAAGATGCTAAATTGCCAAACATTCATTAATCTATGGGTATGAAATCTTAACGTTATCAGTCAGGATACCATGGGGTTCTGTAGCATCGTTTCCTGTGTAACAACTCTGCCCCATTTGGCATTCTGTTGTTTCTACAAGGACAATCACTTTCCCATGGAGAGCATTAACATAAGGAGTTTTACCACCAGGGGGCAGCATATAAATAAATGCTGCAGATTTTCTTTAAGAAAAACAAACCTAAACATTGGTGAAGAATCTGTCAGCTACCCTTCACATATTTTCTAGCCAAGTTCTCTGCTGCCTACGGTGCTGGCTGTCCAAGAGTGTGATGGGGGACCCACTGGGTCTCACCCTTGGCCACGTCAACCCATGCAGTCAGGTGTGGTTCCTGAGGGCTCTCAGGGTCCCAGGGTCCAAGGCAGCTACCAGGCACAGGCTTCTGTGAGTTGAGTGAACTCGGCCTCTTTTCCTGCTGCCCACCTCCGACAGCCCAGGTGACTCCTGACGGCACAAACTTTCAGCTGGCAGGGAAGGTGGCACTGCCCAGTCAGAAGAGAGGTATACTAGTTTCCATAATTCCCAAATCGTTTCATATTAACTGTGAGGGGAGCCTTTCAGGTCGTCGCACGGTGTGAATTTGGAAAAAACTGTGTCACAAAACTCATTTACTCCTTACCTTGACCACCTCCAGTTCCTCCTTGCTGGCTGCTTGCTGTTTTTCCAGCCTGGTACTTAACTGGGAACAGATCTAGGGAAAAGAAAAAGTTTTTTTTTTTTTTTCCTTGGGGAAAAAAGAGCAGCATGCGCACATAACAGCTTATGCATTACTCTGGCATATCGGACCCTGGAAGCGACTTTTACGAGGGGTAGCCCTGCACGTGCTAGCGCTTTCTGAAATGAGCAGCAGCAAGCCTGGGAGTTCTGTGTGTACGGCGCGACTACACCTTCATTAGTGGAAACAAACGTGGGGTAGAGTTGGTTTCTTTCTGTCACCAGCCTTCTGGGACAAGTTCTAGTGAATTCCTGGCCTCGCCTTGTAATCAATCTACAGAATCTTTGCCGAGTATCTCCTCTGTACAAGGTACTATGCCAGGAATCTGATGAAAATAATTTTGAACCAGAAGCTTTTCTTGCCTACAGCCACAAGGAGAGTCTCTGTTTTCAATCCCGAAAAGTTTCTTTAAGAAGTAAAAGGGTGAATGAAACAGTTAAAATGACCAGAAGATAATGCAGACCAACATTCTTACCAAGTGGTTTGGCAGCATAGCACAGATACAGAAAGCTTAGGTGCTAGAGTCAAACACGAGTTTAAGGGCAATCCAGTTCTTCCACTTCATAGCTTGGTGGCTTGGGCAAAGCTATTCATCTTTCTATGCCTCAGTGTCCTGGGACTGAAGAGCCCTTAGGCCAGCCCTGTAGCCTGGCAGTCAAGGAACCTGGGTCCCACATGGCTGACTACAGTTCAAATCCTGTCCCTGGAGGCTTGAAAAACATACTGAATGCATGTGCGTGAATGCTCCGAGCTCTGAAAGGATGGAGAAGGGATTGTGGCGTGACCACACCCCACTGTACATGTATGTGTGGGGATGCTTTCTCCCTCTTTCTCGGTCTCTTTCTGATAAGCACATGGCACCCTTAGGCAATTAAAGAAAATGACTGAAGAGTATTGTGTGCCGTGATAAACAAGAGGGAAAAACGTATGTAAAGGGCTTCACACAGCCAGCAGTAAGTGCTCATTAAATAAAATCTATTATTATTACTGATTCTGAAATAAGGTAGAAGTGAGTGCTTTCAAAGGGAAAAAAATCTGCTTAAACATACTGAATGTTCAAATCTACTGACTGAAACATGTATCTTTTATTTTAGAAAACTGGAAGAAATAACAACTAGAGGATATTAAATTTTAAAGTACAATTTGGGCTAAAAACAAATATGGCCTACTTCAGTTATCAAAACAGACATTTAAAAAATTCTAGTCTACTCAAAAATAGCTCTAGAGACCAGGGTTGGCTTATTGAGTCAGTTTGCAATTTCTCCAAATCTAAACCTGGGGACCAATAGGGCAGTCGCGACTCCCGTCAAAGAGAAGCGATCAGCCTCGTGGGTTTCGCAATCACATAGCCTCTACATAAACTGCAACACTGTGAAATATAGGCAATAATGGCCCGTTCCAAATACAGAATGCATTTAGATTATGTTTTATATCCCAATTATCTTCAAACAGATGGGTCTGCTGCTTTTATATTACTTGAAGTGCTGGCCAGACAACACTCAAGGACAGCCCCAAGGATTACAATCTGAGGAGTGCTGCATCCGGTGGCCACCATGGCACAATGTGTGCAGGACAAAAGTGCATTTGCAGGAGGTCGAGTCTGGCAGCACCAGGTCTCCAACATTCCCTGTATTGGTTAACGTCTAACTATCCCTTCTCTGAGTTACCTACACTCAGCATCTCAAGATCACCTTCGACTGGCAGAAAGACTCTCTCGTGCCCTCCCTTCTCCTCGTCTGCAGTTGTTTATTTTAGCTCATGGCCCTGTTTCCACTTACTCTCTGGTGCTAGCCTCTTACTGGCTTGCGTCTCTGCCTGTGGATCTCTCCACATAACTCCACATTCCTCATGGGGACAGATTAGTGCCTCTAATATGTCCCTGGTTTTACCATTCTCCTGCTCAAAAAATACAAACAAAATAAAGTCCAGAGACTCAGCCTCGCCCCACAGACTTTCCTTTGTCTGGGCCCCCACATGCTTTGCTTCTCCTCTGCTCGAATCACTTGCCCAGTAATTCTTTTTTCTTTTTACTATTCTACCTCCATGCCTTTGTACATGCTCATCCCTCTTTTTATTTTTCTTTCAATTTTTGCCAGAGGGTGCATGTACTTGTTGGAGAGAGATAGAGAAGGGGAGGAGTGAGAAAGCATCTGCCCCCCTTGGGGAATTATCACCCTGCAATCCCTTCTCCTCCATTTCTCCCACTTCTGAGGACTTTGGGCACATACACACAAGGGCCCAGCATGTTTCTCAAGCCGCTGTGTCTGGGACTTGAACCACACAGTCGGCCATGTGGGATCCAGCCTCCTTAAGCACATGCCACAGGCTGGCCTGCTGTTTCCTCTTTCCAGCATTTCTATCTTTTCCTCCATCTCATGTATCCCAGTCTTGCCTTGCCTATGAAGCACAGCTCAAGTCATCCCTTCTGCAGGAAGGATCTCTTCATTTTCCACATGTACTGAGTTTCCTTTCTCTTATTTATATGTTAAGTATTAGCCACCCATTACAAGATAAGCTTATAAGGAAACTAAATCAATTCCTTTTTTTGCCCCCTAAAGTAGCAAGGCTCACACATAGTAGGCGTTAAATAAACACATGCCGCTTGCCATAAACGAGTAAGGTAGCTCTGAAGTCTTACTTCTAAGAAATCATCTGTGAACATGAAGCATCCTTGTGCAAAGACGTTCATAATATAGGAATTAGAGCTAGTTCCAAATTCATCCTGTGTGCGTCTGTGTGTGATAAGTTTATTTCAATAGCATTTATTTCTATAGCAATAACGTGTACTCAATATATGCGTGAATATTTCTAGTTAGCAAGATTAAGGGAGGTTTGTTTTCTTTGTGCTTATCTACTATTTCCTCATTTTCCACAAGAATATAAATTTTATCTATAAGCAGAAAGCACATTTTTTAAAATCACAAAAACAAACAGTAAGCATCAGACTCTGAAGTGTTATGTGAGACCGAAGAGTCCAGGGAACACCTGGGATCAGAAGTTGGTACACAGTGCGCCTTTATTAATTCTGGAAAACTGTAACGTGGACAGCCCATTTAGCGTCCTTCAGCAACATGAGGGGTCCTTACCATGCCCAGCTGACCAGGAGGGACAGGAAGATACTGCTGGAGCAGGAATGAGTGCTTTCTGAAACTGCCCTGAAGATAGGGCCAGAAACCTGGCCCAGGACAGTGAGCCCTCTGTGGAAAAGGCAGTTTAAGGTTAGTGGAAAGAAGCTTCCTGGAAGCACTGGGCTCAGAGGTGGCCACACAGGCCCGTGGGAAGAAGAGCTCCAATATTCGGCACTGTGAGACAGAGGACACGCTGCCGTCCTGGCTCGTGTACACAGAGACACACGGTCACCCAACTCTGCCCACAGACAGGTGTTACCAGTGTCGTCTACGGAGATGAGCTTGGCTGGGAAAGGCAGAGACAGGATCCCACGGGAATAGCATTTCCCATTCCGCTAAATCTACCACATGCTGCGAACAACCAACAAGCTGTGTGTGAGACTTCCCCGGTTATCAGGAAGATGTCCTGGCAGCCACTGCCTGTTTCAGAGGACAGTGGGCCACCGAATATAATGAATCTGGGGAACGGTTCCAGGAACTCTAAACACAATAACGTTTTTTCCTTCAAAAGAAAACAACAAAAGTAATTACCTTCATAGCTCTAATGCCACTGTGGTATCTTACCTGTTTATACTCAGCAATGATAGCTGTGGTCTTCTTTATTTCATATTCTGCCTTTTCTAGTTGTTTCCTGAAGACTTCTTTTAGCTAGGAAGAGTAGACTGAAACATCAGGATTCAGCCAAAATCTTAATCAATTCTTTCAGATATCTATATACAAGTGTGTCTGATTTACACAGCCAATGGCACTGTTAATAGTGTCCGAAAACCTAGTCATCTCTAGAGAGAGAGAAGTCTCACTTTCTTTCCCTGTAAAGGTTGATGTCTAGAAGCTTCCACCGCTTTGACGGGGAGGCCCTGCTTCACCTGTCCTCTGCACCATACTCCTTTGCATCGTGGTGAATTCTGGCTGATTAGCTTCACAACTAGTTCCCAAGACTGTAGGGTGCTAACTCTGAGGCTGGTTCCTGAAGATTTCTCTATATCCCCCCAGGGATTTGGTTTGAGAACTCTGCCAAGAATGCTGATGTTCCTTCTTCTAAGGTGTGAATCAGGACAGTTACGCATGACTGGCCAGGAAGAGGCTGGTGGCAAGTCCCGACAGAGATCTTTGCAGACCTTCAGTCTAAATCCTTGTGAACTACCTCAGAGAAGTCAGCTATCTTAAAGACATGGCACAAGTATGCAGATTCGTCAAAGCTCTTGGATCGTAATTTCAAGTTACTAAACTTAGAGAAAACTCAACACTCCTGCTAGACATCTCAGTAAAGGCAAATTCCTAAAAGCTGTTCAAGGGTAAAAAAGCTGCCTCTTCTTCTAACACCCTTCAAAAGACATGTCAAGATTCAACACTGCTTACATGCATTGCTTCAATATCACCCTCGATTTAGAATAAGTTTATTTTTACTGCTTTTCTATAGTATAACCTGCTCCTTATCAATATACCTATGTAAAGAACAGCCTTCATCTGCCTTTTACCTGGGCAGTCTCTTCCTCTTGCTTCCTCTTCTCCTCTTCAGTCTCCACCAGCCTCTGCTTGGTCAAGAGGAGCTCCTTATTCAACACATCCGCCTTGTCCTCGGCCTGCAAAACAGGGCCCAGCATAGTCACGAAGAAGCTGAAGACAGTGAGTGCACATATGTGCCACATCCGGTCTCCAGCTAGGGCTCCAGGATCACTGCTGGTCATCCTTTTCCCTCTGTCACTCTAGGATGGTGTCTTTCATGAATGCCAACTCCGTGCCAGATATCTGGCACATGCTACTGTCAATCCTCACAACAATAATAAATTTACGGGTAATGACAGTGGGGTTTGGACAGAGCGAGCTAATACACTGTTGGGGTCACCTATCTAATATCAGGGTTGTGAGTCGATTCAGATTTGAATGACATCAAAGTCCAAGCTCTTTCTAATGCTTCTCACACATTTTTAGATGTCATGGTGGCACTCACTCCGTGTGCACTGATCTTAGGAAGCCTGGGGCGGAAGTTTCTAACTTTCTACCTGGTGGTGCAAGGGGGTGGCTTCAGAGAGGACAAGCAGACAGGTTGATCCATAGAAAACAAGTAAGATTCAAAGATTAGCTGAGGTAAGTGGCCTGTAAAGTCACTTAAACAGGACACTGAGTACAGGAAGGAGAAATTAAGACCAAAACCCCATGAGAGAGAAAGCTGTGAGGGAAACTAAGTATCCACCAGAAATCCAGGCAGAAAACCATGAGTATTTCTAGAAAAGCCACGAAGAGTGCAGAGAGAACATTCTAGTTTTTAAGGTGGCCACAGAGCCAAAATTAACCACGAAAGCAGTCTGTGCAAATTTATGTAGCTATTCTGTACTCAAGGGCCCTCACCTCATTCTTGGTCTGTGTCAAGTCCACACCGCAGTGAAGCCCTGCAAGGTGAAGCATGTGCCTGGTCCTTCCCCATTCACCCCATCTGTGTGAAATCCCACTGTAAGTCTCTCTTATTTCCTTAGCAGCCCTGCAATGGCCAATGTATTTGTCTTGCCCACCAGACTTGGAGTCCCAGGGGCAGGAGCTCATCGTTGTATTTCCAGCAGCGAGCCCAGCGCCAGGCGCTCCATAAGCACCTGCTGAATGAATGGACGGGGCTGTCTACGTCACGACATAAGTGGACCGTGCGGAGTAGAGGTAGCCAAGGCCACAGGATCAATTCAGCAGCGGAAACCCCAGATGCAGAGGAGAGGAGGCTACTCGAAGGTGCTATCTCTGACTGAGAGCAACCAAACATCATCTGAGCAATGGTGCAAACGAGCCAGGTGGCCCTCTATCTGTCTTGCCATAACTCCCCCATGTCCAGATGGTCAGGCTGGCACAGTCTGCTGGGGACTGGCCAAAAGCCACATTCCAGCTTCTCTGTTCTTACTGTCTTCTGGCTCCTAAGCTCCCAAAGTCCAGTGATCAGATGATCTGAAACTGTTGGGTAGTTAAAGTAAAAAGGTTCCTCACAAGTATTTAGGACTCTGGCTGGCTCCAAGACACAGAAGTAACATGCTGCTCAAGAGATCTCACATGGCAATCATGGTTCAAATCCCCAGCCTGGCTAGCCTGAGTACACTGGGCATGTGCATGACGCCCCAGACTGAAAGGACGCTAAAGGACTGGAAGATGGAGATCACGGTGTGATCAGGCCCCATGGAGGGTGCTCTTCTCTCTCTCTCATGTGTGCACATACATGCTTTATCATGAATAAAGGAAAACAAGTGTAAAAAAAGCCTTTAAGACCAAAATGTGTTCTGATGCATTAAATCTTAGAGGAAAAGACCTATACAGCAAATGAATGTATTAAACCAGAAGCAAACCTCAATAAATGCAGTGCATGTGTTACATATTTAAGTATTCATACATAATAAATCTAATGTAGATTATGAGAACTCAAAACTCCACATTCTAGAGCTGTCAGCCAGCCAGAGAACTGAGGTTCCCAACAAAACAAGGAGACCCTTCTGCAGTCTCTCATGCCTGGTCACGGAGTGACACATCAGGAGCATCTGTGATTCTGTCAGTGTCCTGAAAACCTCACCAAGTCTACCTTCCTGTCACTGCAGCCCACTGGCTCCAGTCCTGCCCGCAATGGCTGAGCCCTGACAATAAGGAAGACTGTGACCAAACCTCCCTTTACAGTACTCTAGTCATTTCCGCTATGAGAAGAGAATCATCCTTTCACTGTGGGGCGGGGGTGGGGGAGATGTCTTAAAAGTTCATGGAAAAAAAAACAAAGTACAAGTTCATTTTCGCACCAAAAATTTTTTTTTCAAAAATTTTTTATTTAACTTTCTTTCTCCATTTTTTAATTTGACCAGAGATGGACAGAGCAAGGGAGAGAGGGAGAAGGAAAATGAGAAAGCAAGCTGTCAGGTCCAGGACTCAAACCGCCAATTGGCCATGTGGGAGTCCAGTCCCCTTAAGCATCACATCACCTGCCAGTTCCAAAAAAATGTTTGAAATGCATGTTTTATTTCTTCTTAACACACATTTTCCACAAACTTTTTTTTTTTTTGAGAGGTTTTTGCTACAGGGCGCGTGCACTCGCCAGAAAGACAGAGACAGAGAGACAGAAAGCGAGAAATCACCCCCCAGAGGGGATGGCCATTCCGCAATCCCTTCTCCTCCATTCTCCTCTTGGGATCTTGGGCACACACACACATGCTCCTGGCATGAGTTTAAGCCACCAGGTCTGAGACTCGAACCATGGTTGACTACATGGGAGTCCAGCAACATAGCCATTATGCCAACTGCTGGTCCCATTCCACGAACTTTTTAAAGGTCCTTCATCTAATACACATCATGACATGTCAAAAGAAATGTTTTATAAATTTGGTTCTTGAAGAAAGAGTCATCTACAACGTTAGCCTTGTGTCAGCTTTTGAACAGTCAGTGCCATACTGACATTGAGTAAAAGGCCTCATGAGGGGTCTGGTGGGGGTGTGTGGTGGTTAAGGCCCTGGACTCCCACATGGTCAACCACGGTTCAAGTCCCAAATCTGGAGGTTTGCTTTCTCCCTCTTCCTCTCTCTCTATCTGGTCAAATAGTTTAATAACAATAAATAAAATTAAATAAATAATCTTTTCAAAAACAGGTTTCATGAGTTCTATAGCTTAGGTAGCTCTTTTTCAGAAACCTCTGCAAGAAAAGAAGGGAAAAAAAAACACTTTTCTAAAGAAATTTTTTATACAAACCTAAATATTTATGTTGAGAAGACCTACTATTTTTATTTACATATTTTCTGCTTAATAGCCTTTATTGGCTCAAAATAAGGCAGCCTCACTTATTTCTGTTGTTATCATATCCAATGTCTGAAACAGCTGTTGTGGGTCCTATCTGGGGGGAGCTCCACAGTTTTCCAGGAAGCTTCATCCAGAGTTTCTCCTCCAGGGACTGGTAGGTGGCATGGTGTTGCGTGCTGAGCTCTCACAAAGCCAACCACGATTCAAGTCTCGGACCTGATGTCTTGCTCTCTCGCTTTCTCTCTCTCCCTCCTTCTCTCATCAAATTAAAAAAATAATAATAACAAAATTAAATAATTTTTTGAGAGGTTTTCACTATAGAGTGCATGCACTCGCCAGACAGAGAGAATTAAATAAATATCTTTTTAAAAAAGGAAACAATCAAATTTCTTCTCTGTGCTAAACAGTGAAATAGAAACAATTCTGCTCATCTAAACAGGCCCACATCTACAATAATCTGAGTCTACCTTTAAAGACAGCTTTCTGGGAGGATCAGCAGATGGTATAATAGTTACGTTGCTGTACTCCCATGTAGACAGCCACAGTTCAAATTCTGGAGCCGGCAGCTTAAAACTCACGCTGGGCGCGTGTGTATGCATACTAAACATCCCAAGAGGAGAATGGAGGAGAGGGGATTGAGGCGTGGCCACCTCCCTAGGAGTGTTTCTCACTCTCTGTCTCTCTGGTGAGCACACATGCCTTATAGCAAAAATCTCCCTCTTTAAAAAAAAAGACAGCTTTCTAGGGATCGGCAGATGGCATAATGGTTACATTGCTCAACTCCCTCAACCACAGTTCAAGTCCCAGAGCTGGTGGCTTAAAACCCATGCCAAGCGTGTGTGTCCAAGATCCTGAGAGGAGAGAAGGGATAAAATGCTATCTAGTGGGACAGAAAGCGAGAAATCACCCCCCAGAGGGGATGGCCATTCCGCAATCCCTTCTCCTCCATTCTCCTCTTGGGATCTTGGGCACACACACACATGCTCCTGGCATGAGTTTAAGCCACCAGGTCTGAGACTCGAACCATGGTTGACTACATGGGAGTCCAGCAACATAGCCATTATGCCAACTGCTGGTCCCATTCCACGAACTTTTTAAAGGTCCTTCATCTAATACACATCATGACATGTCAAAAGAAATGTTTTATAAATTTGGTTCTTGAAGAAAGAGTCATCTACAACGTTAGCCTTGTGTCAGCTTTTGAACAGTCAGTGCCATACTGACATTGAGTAAAAGGCCTCATGAGGGGTCTGGTGGGGGTGTGTGGTGGTTAAGGCCCTGGACTCCCACATGGTCAACCACGGTTCAAGTCCCAAATCTGGAGGGTTGCTTTCTCCCTCTTCCTCTCTCTCTATCTGGTCAAATAGTTTAATAACAATAAATAAAATTAAATAAATAATCTTTTCAAAAACAGGTTTCATGAGTTCTATAGCTTAGGTAGCTCTTTTTCAGAAACCTCTGCAAGAAAAGAAGGGAAAAAAAAACACTTTTCTAAAGAAATTTTTTATACAAACCTAAATATTTATGTTGAGAAGACCTACTATTTTTATTTACATATTTTCTGCTTAATAGCCTTTATTGGCTCAAAATAAGGCAGCCTCACTTATTTCTGTTGTTATCATATCCAATGTCTGAAACAGCTGTTGTGGGTCCTATCTGGGGGGAGCTCCACAGTTTTCCAGGAAGCTTCATCCAGAGTTTCTCCTCCAGGGACTGGTAGGTGGCATGGTGTTGCGTGCTGAGCTCTCACAAAGCCAACCACGATTCAAGTCTCGGACCTGATGTCTTGCTCTCTCGCTTTCTCTCTCTCCCTCCTTCTCTCATCAAATTAAAAAAATAATAATAACAAAATTAAATAATTTTTTGAGAGGTTTTCACTATAGAGTGCATGCACTCGCCAGACAGAGAGAATTAAATAAATATCTTTTTAAAAAAGGAAACAATCAAATTTCTTCTCTGTGCTAAACAGTGAAATAGAAACAATTCTGCTCATCTAAACAGGCCCACATCTACAATAATCTGAGTCTACCTTTAAAGACAGCTTTCTGGGAGGATCAGCAGATGGTATAATAGTTACGTTGCTGTACTCCCATGTAGACAGCCACAGTTCAAATTCTGGAGCCGGCAGCTTAAAACTCACGCTGGGCGCGTGTGTATGCATACTAAACATCCCAAGAGGAGAATGGAGGAGAGGGGATTGAGGCGTGGCCACCTCCCTAGGAGTGTTTCTCACTCTCTGTCTCTCTGGTGAGCACACATGCCTTATAGCAAAAATCTCCCTCTTTAAAAAAAAAGACAGCTTTCTAGGGATCGGCAGATGGCATAATGGTTACATTGCTCAACTCCCTCAACCACAGTTCAAGTCCCAGAGCTGGTGGCTTAAAACTCATGCCAAGCGTGTGTGTCCAAGATCCTGAGAGGAGAGAAGGGATAAAATGCTATCTAGTGGTAACATATTTATATAACTCACCACTGAGGAATGATTTATATCACCACATGGGGGTGATTTATCACTTTCTGTGTCTCTCTGGCGAGTGCATATGCCCTATAACAAAAATCTCTCTATTAAAACATGTATACATACGTACATACATACAGCTTTCTGTATCTTTGTACAACCAATCACTATATTGCCCTTAAATAGAAATTATCTTTAATGTTATCTGAATGAAATACTAAATAGATACTCAAACTTAGAGTCCAAATTAATTACACTGAAAGTTCTAATTATAATCTAAGGCCTCTGTGATATATGTGTGAGAGAAACAAGCATTATAATATGTGATTTAATCATGAACTAATTGGTATTAAAAGAAAACTGCTAATGCATAAACAATTCAAAATGGCAGAATCAGGGATGAGTCAAGACTGGAAAGTTAATATGGAATCAAGACTTTCCTTGTAGAACTGACTTACCAGGATAGTCTCATGCATACAAACACACAGTGGCTCAGGATAGACTGAGTCTGGCCCTGACAGAATGGAGATCTCCCCACCCCTCTTTGGTTTTGACTTTTATTTTTTAACTGCCAGAGGGTTTGTGTGTTCACTGGAGAGAGACAGGGAGAGAGTGAAGGAGAAAGCACCCCTCAATGGGGCCTGGTCACCTCACAATCCCTTTTCCTCTATTTCTGCATCTTGTTGGGATTTAGGGCATGCATGCCCATGTGCCTAGCATGTTCTCTTTTTTCTCCATAACATTATTTATTTCTTCCATGACAGAGATTGACAGAGAGAGAGAGGAAGGGAAGGAGAGAAGGAAGGAGAGAGAGACAAAGAGAGAATCACCCTCAAGAGGGTCTTCATGCCACAGTCCAGCAACAGCCAACCCTGGTCACAGGCACACGTGGCTGTGTGAACAGGGAGGCCCGAGGAGGCGGTCCACGTGGAATGCTGCATTGCTGCCACACCACTGTGGCTGGCCCTGATCTGACTTAGTCTACATTTCTCAAATAATTTCCAGCTATTTCCAAACGGGCTAGCTGAATGGGTTTTGTGATGTAAAGGACCAACATTGTTTTAAAAACTAATTCTAGGGGCTGCTTTTTCTACCTCCTACGTCCTGTGACCCTAGCATCTCAGCTCTTGGTTCTTTCTCAAATGCCAGTGAATGCTGATGCCCTCAGCTTTCTCCTCTCCTGTTCACATGTATTCTCTTTAACTGTGATCTCCCAGCTCACTGTGGTTAAAACTCCTGAGATGCAAAATTAGCTCTTTCTATGGGAAAAGTGGTCATGGCAGGGGCCATTCTTAGCCATCCCTTCATTTTAGCATTCATTAGTGAATCTGTACTTTCAATACTGGCGATGCACAGTTCCTGCCTAGGTAATGACTCCTTTTTACAGACTCAACAGTCTGAGTCCCAATTTTTCTGACCCTGCACCATCTGTTGGGAATAGTTACTTTATAGATGTCAGAAAAAGAGAGTGATAATTTAAATCTGCGCAACTGCCTCCATGTTTCTAATTAGCTTTGAAAATGCTAGCAATAGAAAACAGGAAGTTTTGAGACTGTCAGCACTGCTAGAAAGAACAAAGAAAGTTAAACAGCTTAAGGTCTTCCTAGCAACAGCGAACATTTATCCAACACATATTGTTGAAGTGCTTTACCTTATTTAGCTTTTACATCATCCCTACAAGGCAGATCCTTTTATATACCTCGAGACCGGGTAAAAAGTCCCAGGGACACATGGTTAGTAAGTGAAGATATCAGAATTCAAATCTGGGCAGTCTGGGTTTGTAGCTACCAAGATGTCTGTCCATCCATTACTGCAACTCTTTATTATTTTTTTTAACATTTATTTATTTATGTACTTATTTGTTTGTTCTGATTTTCAAGCTGCTGGGTCTGGGAATTGAACCACGGTCGGTTATGTGGGAACCACCATACTACCTGCTTGCCCACTGCAACTCTTTTTTTTTTTTTGGCTATAGGGCACATGAGCTTGCCAGAGAGACACAGAGACAGAAAGTGAGAAATCTCTCCCAAGGAGGATGGCCATATCATAGTCCCTTCTCCTCTATTCCCCTCTTGGGATTTTGGGCACACATGCATATGTAACCGGCATGAGTTTTAAGCCACCAGATCTGGGACTCGAACTAAGGTGGACTACGTGGGAGTCCAGCAATGTAACCATTCTGCCATCTGCTGATCCCAGCCCACTGCAACTCCTAATGTATCTACGTGACATAAAACTTCACACTTACTTGCTACAGATGAGGATTCTTTTATTTTTTTTAAAAGAATTATTTAATTTTATTTATTTTTATTATTTAATTTGCTCTATATAGGGCAAGTGTTCTCACCAGAGAGAAAGAGATAGCAAGGGAAAGTGAGAAAGAAAGCCACCAGGTCCAGGACTTGAACCATGGTCAGCCATATGGGAGTCCAGTACATCAACCAACACGCTACCTGCTAGCCCCCAGATGGGAATTCTTACTGGAACAAAAGCTATAGTACCTGTTCAGATTGGAATGACCTTAGCATGCTCTTGGTGACTGATATTCTCAGGTAACTTGTACTGTGGCAGCCCTTGGTTTAGAAGCACCAATAAAGAGAAAAGAAGTTGAGAGGTATGTAGGAAGAGGCCCACGTGCTGCTTGGGAATGGCCCAGACCTTGCTCAAAGGCTTGCCATGTCTCACCCTCTCCAAGTAGCACAGACAGTCCCCTCCCACTTGCCACCACTCATTCCTCAACCAAGCAGCTTGCTTGCATACTCCTGTCAAGAATAGTGTGAGCCTGGGGAGACCACGAAGATAGCACCTTGGTCCTTGCGCTGGAGGAGTCATCCCGGTCTCATTTCCACCACGTGAGTGGCAAGTTTACCTGGTCCAAGTCATTGCGCAGAGCAATCTTGCTGGTTACTAGCTCATGGGCAAGGTCATCGTTCTCCTGTTCCAGCCTCATGCTGGCTTCCTGTAACCTCCGGTTCTCCCTCTGCAAAAAAGAGCAACAGCCAGAGAAGAGCGTTAGTGCTGGGACATGCAAAACCAAATGGAATTGGTGAGGAAAAACAAGCAACAACCACAACGAAGTGAACTTCCAAAGGTGTAAAAGGAGAAGGCGCGAGTGGCACAGGAAGGCGGGACTGCTGTTGGGGCAACAACAGTGACTGAGCTAGCGGTGCAGACGCGGCTGGCTACTGGTGAACTTACGCTCGTCCCTGAGGCCCTGCAGGAAGAGTTTCGATGTAACGCCTGTGCCACGGAGAGCACCATTTCCAAACCCACCCCCAGTCCTGCAAAGTTTTCAGATAGACCTCAAATGCACAGGGAAGCAATACTTTGTCTGAAGCATGCACACACACCCACCTCTGACCTCAGAGAAACTGCAAGACACAGTAGGGATGAAAGTGGCAGAAATCGCTAGACATTTCATCAAATTGTTTTCCAAGATCAGGGTTCAAAGTAGCTGAGTATATTTAAGAATATCAAATCAAGAATCAAGATAGGTGGGTTCATGGTTTTGCCATCAACTGACATTTTTATTCTTTGAGTAAGAATTTATTTATCAGAGGGACTAGCAGTTAGCGTAATGGCTATGTCGCTGGACTCCCATGTAGTCGACTGTGGTTCAAGTCCTGGACCCGGTGGCTTAAACTCATGCCGGGCGTGTGTGCATGCGTGCCAAAGATCCCGAGAGGAGAATGGAGTAGAAGGGATTGCGGTGTGACCATCCCCTCTCTGGGGGGTGATTTCTCACTTTCTGTCTTTCTGTCTCTCTATGTCTATCTGGTGAGCTCATGTGCCCTATAACAAAAGAATTTATTTACCAGGGACCAGCATGTAGTGAGGGCTCAGGACACTCCCACGTGGCTGACCACGGTTCATGTCCTGGACCTGGTGGTTTGCTTTCTCATTCCCCACTGCCCTCGTCTCTCTGGTCAAATTAAAATAAATGAATGAATAAATAAAATAGAGTAAACAATTCTTAAAAAAATATATTTACTTCTCTGAACACCTATTTCTGTGTTAGTGAGAGCCACAATCGTTATGGATAAGGTCTGTAAATGATTGTTTTATTTATTTATTTTTTTGAAACTCCAGATGAAAAGATTCTGAGTAAACGGGCCAGCATGAGGCATGGTGATTAAGGTGCTGGACTCCCACATGGCTGACCACGGTTCACGTCCTGGACACAACAGCTTGCTTTCTCACTCCCCCCGCCCCCCCTCCGTCTCTCTCTGTTCAAATTAAAAAATAATAATAATAAATAAGATAAAATAATTATTTAAAAAAATGCTGAATCTTCTTGTATGTGAATTATATCCCAATAAAGCTGTTAATGTCAGAAAAAGAAAGATTCTGAGTAAAATAAATTACTGAGCTATTTTTCCCCTTTGAACTCTCAGGGAAAATCTTAACGTTATATGATAGGAGAACTAATTCTTAGGAAGCTAGATCTCCCCTTAACTAGCCACTAAACTTAGTATGTTAACGATGTATTTTCCAAAATAACAATTTAGTGTCTTCCATTCCAAAGTATCAAAAGTGCTTTCTTTGCTAGTGTTATCAGTTATAGGAAATTCAAAAGACAGCCCACAGGAAAGACATCAATGTAATGAGACCTTCCTGTTTTTTAGATTTACACTCCTGTTTTCTGCAAAGGTGGCATAAACTCAGACAAAGCTGCGATACTAAACCAGATTGCCTTCTGCATGTTCCGAAAGATAGCGAACAGCGCATCCTGGGGGGGGGGTGTTAACATTCATTTTATCTTCTTTAGAGAGCCTGGTGTTCGTAATACAGAAAGATGGGAACCTTATGTCTCTCTTCCTCTGTGTTTTTTAAAAGAACTAGGGGAGAGAGGGTAAGGGCAAAGCCTGAGGCTGTCAGGGAAGCAGAGGCCCCATAAGCAGGAAAGACCAGTCAAGAAGTTAAAGGACAAACCTGTGCTTTGACTAAGACCAGTCACCAGGGCCCCCTTCTCTTTTCTTTTAGAAAAAAATAGTCTGAGATGGTTGAGAAATGTCAAAATGTTCTTGAAAAAGATAACTACTAAAAAAGATAAACACAATCCTTTACCACATAAACACTTTTAAACAAACTCATCATAGAATTCTACTCGGTGTTAAAATATTACAGAAAAATACCTAGTGAGAGAGGAAATGCTTATGCAACTGTGCAGAAAAAATACAAATAACTAGAAACACCCTTTTCCCCCTTTTCAATATCAGCAACAGATACTAACTGTGGATACTTCTTATCCTTTCAAAATACTATGTTGTTCTTATCCATTAAAAATTTTATAAGTTTTCTATAACAAATATATATATATGTAATCAAATTTTTTTAAAACTTTTGTTTAAAAAAAGTAATTCAGAATTTTAATTCTGCTGGAAAGGGCAAATTTTTTAAAAATTAAGTTCCTTCCTTGTTAGATTATATTCTTCACAAAACTATACTAAATTTTCCATGTTCCTCTGTGACCAATATAACTCCTCAAAAATGCTACCTTGGGCCAGCAGGTAGAGTGGTAGTTAAAGTACTGGACTCACACATGATCAACCACAGTTCAAGACCCAGACCCAGTGGCTTGAAAATCACACCAGGTGCATGTCTGTACATGCCTTAAATCCTAGGAGGAGAATGGAGGATAAGGGACTGCAGCATGGCCATCCCACCTGAGGGTTGATTTCTCACTTTCCCTCTCTCTGGTGAGCACACACACCCTATGGCAAAAGCTCAAAGAAAAAAAAATGTCATGCGAGGAACCCTTTCTCCAGTTATTCCTAAAAAGACTGTACATATTCGTAGCATACATTTATAGTCATTGTATATATATATATACACATATATATATATATAATTTTTTTGGAGAGGTTTTTGCTATAGGGTATGTGCGCTCGCCAGACAGAGAGAGACAGAGAGACAGAGGGCGAGAAATCACCCCCCAGGTGGGATGGTCACGCCTCAATCCCTCCTCCTCCATTCTCCTCTCAGGATCTTGGGTACGCACGCACACGCACCCAGCGTGAGTTTTAAGCCACCGGGTCTGGGACATGAACCGCGGTCGACTACATGGGAGTCCAATGACATAGCCATTACGCTAACTGCTGGTTCCCATTCAATATACATTTTTAAGCCAGGGCTTTTTCAGTTGCATTCTTCAGTCTTTGCCAAAGTTACCCCATTTCTACCAGGTCCTTATTTCTGATATATCTAACCACTACCCCTTTTTTATGCAAACAACTTACACACTTCAAAGTTTAGATGAAAAAAGAAAAGGTTTTAGAAACTTTTTCAGTAATTTTCTCCTTGTAAGGAAAGAACAGTAATACCCAGCACAATTTCAACATGATGCTTCACGAGGCCAACTACTTAAGTGGAGAAGAGATTTTTCTCATTTCTGGAGATATCCTTTCAAGAGGACAAGATAAGACTGCTTCAATACCTACTCTTGAGTGAAGTGTCCTATTTCTACTGAAACTGCACTTGGAGAACTCCACGGTACAAAGTGCTCCTGTAGCTATTATTTACATGACATTAATTGGGCACAAGTGAAAATGTTGCAGCTACCAGTTTTTCAGGTTACAGAGTTATGTGCTTACTAATGAATTAAAATAATCTCCAGGTAGTCATAGGGTATCGGTGCAAAAGTACTTTGTTCAAGTACTTTAAAAAGTACCAGGGAGCTACTTCACTACTCATTGGAGATAAATGTCGGACAGGTATTTATTGTATGAGGAAGTGATGTGGGCTCAGCTGAAATTCCAGCTGGTAACCTCAGGGCAATTACTGCTGCAACTGGAACCCTTCCTTGTGGACCCACAGCTAAAGGGGGAGGGGCAAGAGTGGGAAACATTCTGGGAGAAACTGAGGGTCTGGGAGTCCCTAAAAAAGCAAAATAGCCTATAGGGCACGCCTACTGGCTTTTGCTGTAGCAAGAAGCTTCAGCTCAGTGTCTGCAAAGCAAGCAGGACAGTGGAAGTGTCAGAATCCTCTACACTCACAGACAAGTGGGCAAGCAAGCCATGTGGCCAAAAATGCAGTATCGTCCTCCAAAGTTTAAACCTGGAGCAGTGAGGTGTCCTCATGAGTGCTCCAGTAATAATGAGTGCCCAAGTGGGACACGGCTTCTGAGATGGAGATTTTGTACGCAGAAGAACTTGCCTGAGCTTACCAAGGGTAAACTGAGATTTCAGCACTTGGCTATCTTTTCCTGTGCTTCCCAAGGAGCCAAAACTGGTTTCAGAACTAACTGATTAAAGAGTAAGTCTGCTTTTACACTAGAATGGAGAGAAAGGTTAGTTCTGAGGGGCTTGGGAAGCATAGCAAACTTTCTTGGTTCATTACGAAATCTTGGCAAGGGCCACTCACCAGAGAGAGACTAGAAGTTGGCCCCAATCAGCTCAGTTAGCCTGAGATATTTGGGTGCTATAAGCTTACACAAACAGATATGCTAAAAGCTCAGAACTGATAAATCAAACAGGCAAACTGCTTCCCTTGCCTTTCAGAAGAGCTTAGAAGAGACACTACTTACATAACCTTTAAAAACTCACATGGCACTGTCTGAAGCATACTCCATCTCACACATCTGACATCATTTGAGCGAAAAGTAAATGACAACATTCCTTAGCCCTGTCCCCTCTTGCATAGAAGTTGGGAAACTTTGGTTAGTAACTTTTGGGAGGAGGATACTGCATTTTTCAAACAGACAGACACTGATGTTACAGACGTACATAGATTAAAAAAAAAAAACAACAAAAACTTACCTCCTCAAAAGTCATAGACCAACTACCGTTTTCAATCATAGGTACAAAGACAATTGAAAAAAAAAAGAATATCCAATGAAATTGTACACCTACTAATACATTTAGGAGACGGCAATAACATCAACAGACCCTTGTTAATGCTATTTTGTTTTTCCTCTGGTGTCACCTACTCTACGTTCTCTCCGTGACTGCAAACACTCCACAGAAGAAAGTATACTTGAGG